AAATGCTTCGTGTCAAGTTACCAAACGTAAGTAATAGCTCATATTCAGCAAACAACTACTTTTTAACCCGAGATCACTAATGTAACTTGATCAGCTCAAATAGAATGTCAGTTGTAATAAATGCACACGTTGTAAATCGACGGCACACCTGTCGTCTGCTTGTTTACGTTCATGGTGTAAATGTCACGTGATGAGACACGTGATGTGCTCGCCAAAATTTAAAACTATGGAAACAAATTAGGGTCATTTCTTATTGAAAATGTTATACTTTTTGAGAACTTCTGTCTCTGGAGTTTTGGTGATATATAAAATAAACCTTTATTTTTACAGGTTTTGACCAATGGTGAACCAACCAGAAGAGGCCAATATAGGCAATATTTGTCTGCAGCCCTCGACAAGGCATATAATGCTGTTTTAGATGGAATGGCAATTAGGAAAGCTGCCACTACCTTTGCTGTTCCATTTGCTACACTGCATGACAGGATGAGTGGGAAGGTTTCTATTGAATGTAGTACCACTGGTAGAGAACCACTATTGTCCATGGAAGAAGAACAGGGACTTGTTTCACATATTGAAGCCATGGCAAATTTTGGGTATGGCTATACAAGGGCTGAGGTTACTACTATTGCCACAGACCTAGCAATATATGTTGGAAAGAAGTCAAAGGATGAACAACCCCTATCACTTCAGTGGTTTTATGGGTTTATGAAGCGATGGCCTGATCTGTCAGTGAAGAAGCCACGATCCCTTGAGATACAGAGAGCAAAAGCTACCTCAGAGGAGACGATCACTCATTTTTTTAATGAGTTTGGGCACATCATGGATAAGTACAACCTGAAGACATGCCCTCATCGCATTTATAATGTTGACGAAAAGGGACTTATAGAGCATCATACCCCACCATCAGTTGTTACATCGAGTCAGAGTACTCCAGCTGCAGTCACAACGTCAAGATCAAGTACTACAACGGTTATAGGTTGCGGCAATGCGTCTGGTAGTTCTATACCACCGTATTTTGTATTCAAGGGCAAGAGGATGCGGGAAGAACTCCTTTCAGGAAGTACCCCTGGAGCAGCAGGCACTGTAAGCGACTCTGGCTGATCAAACACGGAGATTTTTCAGCACTATCTGACAGAGCATTTCCTGATGCATGCTGTCGCCGCGTCTGCAGATAGTCCACTTCTTATTGTGTATGATGGTCATAGATCCCACGTATCTATTCCACTCATCGAATGGGCACGTCAACATCACATTATTTTGTTTGTACTGCCTGCACACACGTCCCATGTTTTACAGCCAATGGATGTTGGTTGCTTTGGACCTTTTGCTAAAATTTACAACAACCTCCGTCATACGTATATGCGGGAAAATGCCACAAGTTCAGTTGATAAACATTCTGTTTGTGAACTTGGCTGTAGAGCTTATAACCTGCCGCTGACACCAACAAATCTGCGATCCTCTTTCAGGAAATGTGGAGTCTATCCATTTGACAAGTCTTCCACCGCCAATATCAACTTTGCGCCATCAACAGTTTTTTAGTCGACTGAACCTTTGCTGCATCCTGATACTGGTGTTATTGATTCATGTGTGCCAGTTGGAGACAAGGTTGTCACTTTACCTTCTGAGGGCAATGATGTAGCAGGATTCTTTAAAGACAAGACGACTGTACTTTTCAAGAAAGCTGTGCCTACTAAAAAGAGAAACGTTCTGAGCGCTGTTGTCGGGGGCAAGGCCATCACCGAAGACGTCATTCTGAATAAAATTATTTCCCACCAGACTGTGAAATCGGCACCCAAAAAAAGAAAGCAAGCACCTAAACCAAGTAAATCTTAAAAAAAAAAAAATACTGTCACTGCAACGAATGCAAGTACTGGAACTTCACGGTCCAACGCGCATCAGGACGATAGTTTTGATAGTGATGTGACAAGTGATGACGAACTGTGCTGCAAATGTAGCAAATTTGTACCTGATGAGGTTCGAGCTAATGTCTACCTCATCATAACAACCTGGGCACAATGTACCCACCCTACATGTCAGCACTGGACACATTTACGTTTCTGCACGCCAGTTCGTGTTGTGCGTCGACATTCTGAGTTTTGGTGCCCCTGTCACGATGAGCCTGAAGAATAACTCCCTGCATCAACCTTGTAAATAATCTGGATATTTGTGACTTTTCGTCGTTTTTTTTCAATATTAAAACATAAAATGAACGTTTGATGGACAAAGATGTAATAAAACAACTGCGGACTGTTCTAATTCGAATTTTGACACAAGAGACCGTCCATACATGTCATCCCGGTTATGCGACAAGCCAACCAATCAAATGATCGAACTTGTGTGACGTAGCTTTCTGGGTCACTTCTGTTGACAGTGAGAGGGCGGCCATACCGCGAGTGTAAATTTCAATGGAAATACGTGGATTTGGGAAATGTTTGTCACAAATAAACAAGTTCACAGGTAAGATATTTGAAAAAAAGATTATATGAATGTTACTATGAATATTCAGCGACTTTTCGTAAGTGATCGAACTTCCAGGACACGAGGAAGAGTAGCTTGACATTTCGTTAGTACGGTCCTCATACTGTCTTTGCCTTGTTTCTCCTGAATCTCATTAGTTTCAAAAGAAACAGATAAATCGGTCATACAATGCTTTCATTGGATTTATCAAAAAGGACCATATCAGGTTTGTTCGCTTGGATACGTCTGACTCTGTATGTGGGCGTATTCCAAAGAATTTTATATGTAATTATCATTTCCCACGACGCCCTCTGCATATTCTGGGTCGTACCATTGATGGTCTCGGAGTCAAAACCACACATTACGGTAACAAGAGGATCGAACCATGCCAAAGATACTGTGTTTGTGTCAATCTGGACATCAACTTTGACACAAAATCACACATTGACGTTTTCGAGTGGCAAGTGACTGGTTCTGGGTCGATTTGATATGGCACTTCGCTTGATTGACACTCATTTCTGTACCGTCCAGCACCATCAACAAAATAAACATTAACATTGATATTCAGTACTGCATCAATGGGTCGTTTAGGAAAATCTGTTGAATGACTTGTTTTCAGTCTTGACATTATTCACAAGAGGATCTTCAGATAAATAAATATGTGCAATAGTGCACGATTAAATTCAATCATGAAATGCCACCTTGTTAATCACACCATAGACGTTAAAATATGGGCGATGATCCTCATCATAAACAACTATCATCATCATTATCATTATAATGTTTATGTTCCCGTCACAGTACATCGTATTTAAAGAAAACAAGGTATAGATATAAACACATTTGATGATACATCCGTGAGTTTAAATTTGATTTTGACAGCCCGGACCAAGTCGGACCTAACACAAGCCAAACACTTCTGATAGACACTATGTCTAGGATGTAGAGGGGAAAAGGGCTTCACTTTGAGCACCTTGTTTTCTTTAAAGACGATGTACTGATACATTATAAAATGGTATTTAGGTAGATATAACACTGATCTATAGATGTAAACACATTTAATTATACTGTTATGTTTTTAAAGTTAATTTTGACAGCCCGGGCCAAGTCGGACCGAACACTTTTAACAGAATGTTGAGAATGTAGAGGGAAAAGGGCTTCACTTTGAGCACCTTGTTTTCTTTAAATACAGCGAACGGAGACTCTTTAAAGTGGTATATAGGTAGATATTAAACTCGTGTATAGATGTGAATACATTTGAATATTCATCTATGACGTTTAAGTTGATTTTGACAGCCCGGGCCAAGTCGGACCGAACACTTTTAACAGGGATTTTCTTAAGAAAATACAATAAAAGTGCTTGACTTTAACGGCCCAGTTGTCTTTGAATGCGATATACTGTGACATTATAAAGTGGTGTATAGGTAGATATACCACTAGTCTATAGATGTAAATACATTTGAAGATACATATGTGTGTTTAAAGTAGATTTTGACCGCCCGGGCCAAGTCCGTCCCAACACAAGCCAAACACTTCTGATAGAGACTATGTTGAGAATGTAAAGGGAAAAGGGCTTCACTTTGAGCACCTTGTTTTCTTTAAATGCGATGTACTGTGACATTATAAAGTGGTATTTAGGTAGATAGATATTATACTAGTTTATAGATGTGAATCCATTTGATGATACATATGTGAGTTTAAAGTTGATTTTGACAGCCCGGGCCAAGTCGGACCGAACACCTGTGTGACTGTTGAGAGTATAGGGAGAAGAGGTCTACTTTAACCAACGTGTCTGCTTTAAATACGACGATCAGTGACATTATAAAGTGGTATTTACTTATATATAGAACGTTCCTTTAAATATAAACACTATGCTTACGGATGGAAATTTGTATCACGATAGCTAGAAGTATTTAATACGTTTCAAATCTTACTTCGTTTAACGATTGCTCTTTTACATGTTACCAAGATCAGCGACGCTTACACACTGCTCCACTTTCTGGTTTTCAAGCGATTTACTCCGAATTACTTATTTATGGTGCACTTTTTTGTTTGGTGATTGTTCATTGATGTTATGTGTGTATGTTGCATCAATTATATGTAGGTATGATCGCCGATAATGAAGTAATTAGCCAGAAACACTTTGGCACGTCTTGACCCGGCCCGGCCCGACTTTTAGGCAATGCCTCGCTTTGTGCAAGTGGGCCCTGGTATGATCACCAACTGATGGTCATTCCTGAACACATGCTGTTAATATAGTCTGAAAAGTAATTTACTTTTAGCAAAGATTTCTTAAGAGACTCTTAAGACGCTTGTATTTATTATAACATGTGAACAGAGAGATGCGGCAGAAACCAGGACACCATGACCTTCAGCTGATTCCCATACGACATTGACACCCCCCCCCCCCCCCCCTCCCCCCAAACCCTACCACCAGCGAACCAGCGAACCAGCCCCATCCTTGATGACTGGAGTCTGTCCCATACACTCCATACACGTTGAATAACTTATCAGACACTCTGGTGGCGATGATGATCACATACCACTTCAAGAGAGAGGATGCCTGCCACCATTCTGTAATCTTCAAAGGATCCTTATAATTTGTAAGTGTTTTCACTGGCAATGATGGTGGTGCTTGAAAACCTGGAACGTAAGCAGCACTGCATTAAACCTTACCAGAACATCGCACCGACAACAACATTAAACACCACCTCTCATATAATTGTGAATGATTTTACAATAATTTGCATAACCGCTTAGTCAACAATAGATGAGGTGAGGTGACAGAAATAAAATACAGCAAAAGGGACGACTTTGTAAGAGACTATTACATCTTTATTCAACGAAACTGGTTCATATTAGGGACAGCAAAAGCGTGGGCAGATTGCTGATACACAAAGAAGGACTGATGCCATCATAGACAATACACCAAGTCAGTAACATGCTGCTCTACATAGAGCTCTGGGGAACTTTGGAGTCAAGATTAGTGTTTGGATAAAGACAAACGCGTTGCATGTTCAGATGGTTTGCAGTCGACTGCCGTAAAAAAGAAAGTATACTCCCAGTTTGATGGTAGCTAAAAATGAAAGGAATGGTCACTAGTACACGATGTTGATGTAGTTGATACGGATATCATTGTTGTGTTTTTGAACCTTTCCTCTGTTTCGGCGACTGTTTTCAGCTTTGACAACATTTGTAATTTTTTGGTCAAATCCAATTTGCAAGTGTCTACTATATTTTGCCCGGTAGTGTATTCTCCCCTCTCCACTTACACTAATGTTTCATGACCGTCTTCCGACAAGCAAACGCCGCTTACTCTGACCTATGCATCACGACAATATCCGCATAGATACAGACATATGTCATATCTGGGACGTGTGTGCCTCAGGCTGAATACAGGCAGTAGACCTTGACGCGTGGTGAAGATGGTGGTGGTGGTGGTGGTAGGGTGGTGATGGTGATGGTGATTATGGTGTATTCAAACTGAACCAATTTTCATTTAAACAACAAAGATCCTTGGCAACTGGGGATGAACTATGGCCGTTTCATGTAAAAGTCATCCGTTTCACTTGGAGGGTGGGTGAAATGTACATGCATTAGTTGCTATTGTTCAGATTTTGATGAAGACGACTGCTATGTTTTGCTATACTTCTCTGTCTATGAAGCTGAGCGTTATAATGAGCTAAAAGGGGCGTAAAATTAAACTCACTCACTCACTGAACGTTATGCTCATACTAATTAATGTATCAAACTGCATCCAAGTTGTAAAGGTTGCTGTGATGTTAAAGAGTGTTTTATGTCATCCAACGGAATTATAGTCTGGAAGGTAATTTAAGGTACCGACGTTTACTACAATTTCTGAAAAACTACATCTTCAGCTCCGACGTTCATACAGTTTGGCCCTCACTCTATGCAGGTTCATACTCCAATGAACTAACACAAAGTGAAGGTCAATTCTTAAATAATGTTGAATTATTCTTTTTATAATGTTCTTTATGATAAAACTTTGAGGAAAAGGCTCGCGAGCATATCATACATATCAAGTATTGAAATTATTCAGCATGGACAGCATTGTCAGCAAATGTGCAGTTTGTATGGAATTTTTAAAAATAATACAATTTTGAGTTTCTTTATTTTGTCTTTTATCAAATTATGTTTTGAACATTTGTATTTGTATCTTCTGTATGGAATACTGTAAGGGACAATCCCGGGTCGCCCCGATTATGTTTCTAGGTTTGTCAGCACCATACCCGTGCTCGTGGGTTTCACAGAAGTGGTAAACGTCTAAGACCTGCATCACTTCGGGCTTTCCTCCCACATTAAGCTGACACGCTGCGATATAACTGGAATAATGTTAAAAGCGGCGTTAAACCCAACTCACTCACTGTAAGGGACATTGTCGCGTTCTCGCATTCTCGCGATCTCGACCTTTGGAAACGAACTAAATATGCAAAAAACACGAGAATGCGAGATCGCCAGAGCAGAGATTTGGCCAAAATATCGCGTTCTCGCGATCTCGCATTCTCGTGATTTTGATACATAGCACTATTGGTCAAAAGTGGACAACGCGAGAATGCGACATTTGGACATGATGAAAAATCTCGCAATCTCGACTTGTCAAATAAGTCCACAAAAAGACGAAATCGCGAGAACGAGAGAATGGGACGTTTTAGACGCTGTCCGTGCCCATGCGTGATATCATAAGGTCAAGGCGCATGCGCACGTTAGTAGTCCGATGGTCATGCTCTCATGCTCTTTATTCTCCAGTAGCATTCAGCAAACTTATGACTTGAGCTTGAAAATGCTATGTAATTTACATACACAAAGTCCCATGTAGAGTAGAGTAGAGTAGAGTAGAGTAGAGTAGAGTAGAGTAGAGTAGAGTCCTCTCCCTTTGGTACAGTTTCCTATGTACTTTAAGTTAAAACCCTTAACATGCTCAATATAATTTAACAAAAGAAATTGGGTACGTGAATGTCCAGTAATAGTTAAAACATTAAAGTGTGAGGAAGCTGGAAACAAAATATCACATCAGCAGTATTGCAGCTATTCGCGGCTGCACTGTCAGTTATGGAAATAATCACAGGCCAGTGATTTTCTCCACGAAGCAATATCATACACGTTAGCATATTCATAAAACAAAATTCGCAAAGACCAATTTGTAGCATTCGTCTAAAATGAGATTGTCCGATGTTTTTACTCGACACCATAGTCGCTAATTATAGGCCATACAAAATTAATTATTCATAGATTTTCATCCTCTCCCACCTGACTACAAAACATCCTGCCTTACACTCTTCTATTGCCTCAAAGTTCCTAGAAATAGAAATATCGCCAATATGTGTGTTCCTACTCCGTACACGTAGCCCTATTGAGCACGCATGATGCATGTGAACCGCCCTCTTCGACAGCAATTGTACACATATGCCTTAAATAATTCGAACGGACAGCGTCTAAAAAACGAGAACACGAGAACGCGAGATCGCGAGAAAATGAATATTCGCGCATTATCACGATTTCGTGTTTTTGTGGCCTAATTTTACAAGTCGATATTGCCAGATTTTTCATCATGTCCGCATTCTCGCGTTGTCGACTTTTGATAAAAACTGCTATGCATCAAAAACGAGAGAACGTGAGAACGCGACATTTTGGCCAAATCTCGCGTTCTAGCATTCTCATGTTTTGGGTATATTCAGCTCGTTTCCCAAAGTATTCCATAATCCAGAGTCCAATTTTGTACGCAAATAACCGATAACCTATTTATGCGAAATGAAATATAAACTACACAAAATGCTTCTTTTATCCGGAAAGTTGGTTTCCGGATCCGGACAGACAATTTCAATTTCCAACCGTGCAAAACACACACCATTAGGTCACACTTACCGGTCAGCAAACACGCTTGTTTTACAATTCAAACCCGGCAGTCAAATATTTGACATGTATAACCAGTAGGTTGGTTGTTGGTTGGTTTGTTGTTTAACGCCGCACTCAGCAATATTCCAGCTATATGACGGCGGTCTGTAAATAATCGAGTCTGGACCAGACAATCCTGTGATTAATATCATGAGCATCGATCCACGCAATTGGGATCGATGACATGCATGAACCAAGTCAGCGAGCCTGACCACCCGATCCCGTTAGTCGCCTTTTACGCCAAGTATAGTCACCTTTTACGGCAAGCATGGGTTGCTTAAGACCTTTTCAACCCCGGAATCTTCACGGGTCGTATAACCAGTAGGAATTGGAACATATTATTCTACATGTCCATGTTTTTGATGGACAAAATGTTGTTCATGCTCGGTAATAGTGAGGACTGGCATCACTAAGTTTGTACCCAAATGTTTCCGTGGTTTGTTTAGGTGAACAACTGACTTGTCTTTGCATGTGTGGCAGGATACGCTCACTTTATTGCGAACACCCGTTTGAAGGCCTGCACTACTTTGGGTTTTTAGCAAACATCAGTCTGATACGCCGTGATATAACTGTTTGTTTGTTTGTTTGTTGTTTAACGCCGCACTCAGCAATATTCCAGCTATATGACGGCGGTCTGTAAAATAATCGAGTCTGAACCAGACAATCCAGTGATTAATATCATGAATATCGATCCACGCAATTGGGATCGATGACATGCATCAACCAAGTCAGCGAGCCTGACCACCCGATCCCTTTAGTCGCCTTTTACGACAAGCATAGTCGCCTTTTACGGCAAGCATGGGTTGCTGAAGACCTATTCTACCACCGAATCTTCACGGGCCGTGATATAACTGAAATGCTGTTCAAGGTAGTGTTTATCCCACTCTCACTGTATTGTGTGTTACTGCACCTGTCAAAATTATGTGTAGTGATGTCATGTTATATGTGCAAAAAAGCACATTCAATTATCCAGTTGATTTGATAAGAATATACTTCCGTCAGTGCGTATTTTAAGAACGCCCCCAAACCGTATTTTTTAAACACATATTATATCGCCATATCATATCCTGGTGACTTGGCTTACTGCTTTATACTCCAGTAGTGGGAATATGCTGGGATGGGAGCAGAGATTGTAGCGGTTGAAGTTACCAGAGTATATTCCATTCACAGGCCCTGGCCCGGGCCTTATGCTGCCCCTTGCAACATGGTGACAGCAGTTGATTCATGTCAATAAGATGACTTGTAGACGAGGCATTTATAATTAAAAAAGAGAGGCGTAAGAACATCAGAACAAATGGATCGACTCATCTTGTAATTATAAGAATTCAAGATAACAAACTGTACTTGAGCTTTTTAATTTTCTGAATTTTTATTGTATTTACATATTTCTAGTTCTTGATTCGAGAATTAATTTTGGTGTTTATTTTCTTAATATCTACAATGTATGCATGCTTTGTCAAAGAGAGGAACTGTTTTGCACAGTTCCACATTTGTAAATGGACTCTTGTAATTGATCAATAGAACCTGTTTCAGTGAAAGAAATAACCTGCATGAGTTTTGTTACTGTTTGGAGTCAGTCAGAGACTGTCTTTGTGCTTCTACAAAGAGTTTCGGGATTTGTCGTTAATCACCGAAAGTGATTATACAGTTTGCATTTCATTCAATTATTTCACAGTATTTATTTTTCATGTTGCTCAGGATTTCTAGAGGAAAAATGGTTGTGTTCATTCAATAGAAAATGATAGAATAATAAACCAAAATAATCTCTTATCTATGTTTTTGTTGTTATTATTTACATATTTGTCATGAGTGCTGAGTTCCAGTACGTATCACAGGTGATACATGGCAAACCCAAAGCACTAATACCCATCGTATCACAGGTGATACAACAATATTTTGTAAACAATTGAACAAACAGTGGAAATCAACACATCTCTGTCTTAGTTTGACCACAGGTGTGTCAAATTAGGATTTTAAGAATTTTTGGACAACTAGAAATAGTTCTGGTTACTAGAGGGTTAAAAAATCGGATTCTTCTTGCATGTCTATGTAGCTCAGTATGGTTAGGTCTACTTTCGCACTTTCGCCTACAGTACTTTACAGAAATAGTGATGTGATGTGCAATGTGATAGAAAGTAAAGAATGAAATAGTTCATTACTTAACATTGAGTAGAGGACATGTTAGACACAGTTATTAAGATTAACATATTAAAGAAATGCAACTGATCTGAAACCAAACATAGTTACAAGAGATTTATAAAAGAAACTACAATATCTCCTGAGTAGATTCCCATTGTTGTTCAGTAACACAAGACTTCTGATCACACCAAACACTAAGATTAACAAGCGCTTCAAACAGGTTAATTATTTAACATACTTTCGTTAATTCAAGATAGCATAAGCGTCAATGGGTGAACCCAGGTTGTACTTGTAAATCACATGAATTTTTATGGTTTTATTTGCAATGTGAATTCATTGGAGGTTTTTGGAAGATGGGACAATATTTTAGCAAGACGTGTTTTTATTCACATGTTTTTATTCAGTAATACATTGTTCTTAGATTGTTGTGAGATCTTATTGTTATAGATGGAGACTGTGTAATTGAACAACTGTGCCCTTTTTACGATGCCATCCGCTCTGCAGATTTTCCCGTCATATTTAACCAAAACTTTGCTAATGATATGAATATGATATTTAATAACACCAATCTAGTACCTAAAATAGCTACGATGTCAATCAGTTGAAAAATGCTTCGCCCATTGTATCTCAATAAGAAGGGGTTCTGCCCGTCATACCAGGCAGGATATGCTGGCACTATAAATCGGAAATAAGTCCGGACTAGTACAAGCAGACACACACATACACACATAATGATACTTGTCTTTAGCCTTTAAATGCTATGGACTGTACAAATGGCTATTATAAACTATTTTGCATTATTATTTACTATATTTTCACCCGCTGCCTGGGCGAGTCTAAATTGTTACTGAAGTAGTAAACTTGAACTAACATAAATCACCGGTGCATAAACTTGTTGGCGATTGTAGACGACGACCTATGTATGGTTCTATTGTCCACAGTTGGAAAATTCGAATAAACGAATATCCTGTAATTAATACTTGCTCTCTGAATAATACACAGAATTCGTATGTACAGTGAATATATACTGTACTGTATATGCTTTCAGGATTGTGGTATGAATCACACAGGTGATTGATACACTGTACCTACCTCTGTTACAAGCAAAGAAGGATGTGGCCCTCCACACAGCATGTGTCTTGTACTTCACAATCCATCTACTGGAATCCCTATCATGTCTTGACAGTGAATGATTAATTAATATACTGTCATCTTCTCGGTCACATGTCAGGGCTTCCATTTTATTACAGTTACAACATCAGTGAGTCACTTCAGAATACGTAGATTCATTTCGTGCACTACAAATAGCAAGTTTTAAGATTGTAAGTGCAGACCAATCTAAACTTCATATCCGGTAGCATAGAAAATACCTGTATCAATTTGGCTTGCGTTTTTACAAATTGACCATTGCTTGTCCTTTCTGTCAATTCTTATCAGCTCATAATGAAACTACATCACGTAATTAACAGCTAAGGTATGTAGTTTTGTTTGTTGGTTCAAGTCACAATCAGTAATATTCCAGCTATATGATAAACATGTAGTTAAACTACAGTTATCCACAGCTGTTTTTTGATAACAAATAACATAGGTTCAAGGTGGAATATTCATATCATGGTCTTCATTAACATGCAGAACATCACAGCACGACCAAACACATGGTCATATCATATTGGTCTCCCAGGTTAAAGTTCCCGTGAAGCCAATATATTAATGCATGATTATTTTAGAAAAAATCCCATATGTTTTCCCTTGATTTGAAAGCTACTTGTGATTTTAATGAGGAGACAAAGAAACACATGTTTTACCTGCATTTGAAAAGCCGCTTGGGCCTTTATCCCCAGTGTATCCAGTCTGTTCCCGTGTTGAATAAAGGACAAATACTAGAAATATTAGAACGCCTACAAACGCTGCGGCTACTGCCTTGATTCCGAACGCCATGGTCCTGCTCTTCACCTGTCTGAACTGTGACGTGGAGGGAGGCGTCAGACACATGTCAAGAGTGGGGCGGTGTGGCTGAAGGATTTATTGCCGTCACGTGTAGGCGCCTCTGTTCAACTGCCTTGGGTGTTCTACAGGGGCGTCTCAAACCTCTGTACATGGAGCATTAATAACCCATCAGCTGATATTCTGTACAGTGGGTCTGTTTACTTGTACTGTGCCTGTGAACATGTCTCCTGTTCAGTCCAGTGGTTCTGTTTACCTGGTCTCGTTTGCAATCTAATGTGCCCGTGGAACGTGTTTCCTGTGCAATCTAATGTGTCTGTTTACCTGGCCTCCTGTGCAATCTAATGTGCCTGTAGCATGTCGCCTGTTCAATCCAGTGTGTCTATTTACCTGGCCTCCTGTGCAATCTAATGTGCCCGTGGAAAGTGTTTCCTGTGCAATCTAATGTGTCTGTTTACCTGGCCTCCTGTGCAATCTTATGTGCCTGTGAACATGTCTCCTGTTCAAACTAGCGTGCCTGTTTACCTGGCCCCCTGTGCAATCTAATGTGCCTGTGAACATGTTTCCTGTTCAACCCAGTGTGTCTGTTCACCTTGCCTCCTGTGCAATCTAATGTGCCCGTGGAAAGTGTTTCCTGTGCAATCTAATGTGTCTGTTTACCTGGCCTCCTGTGCAATCTAATGTGCCTGTGAACATGTCTCCTGTTCAATCCAGTGTGTCTGTTTACCTGGCCTCCTGTGCAATATAATGTGCCTGTGAACATGTCTCCTGTTCAATCCAGTGTGTCTGTTTACCTGGCCTCCTGTGCAATCTAATGTGCCTGTGAACATGTCTCCTGTTCAGTCCAGTGTGTCTGTTTACCTGGCCTCCTGTGCAATCTAATGTGCCCGTGGAACGTGTTTCCTGTGCAATATAATGTGTCTGTTTACCTGGCCCTCTGTGCAATCTAATGTGCCTGTGAACATGTCTCCTGTTCAATCCAGTGTGTCTGTTTACCTGGCCCCTGTGCAATCTAATGTGCCTGTGAACATGTCTCCTTTTCAATCCAGTGTGTCTGTTTACCTGGCCTCCTGTGCAATCGAATGTGCCTGTGAACATGTCTCCTGTTCAATCCAGTGTGTCTGTTTACCTGGCCTCCTGTTCAATCTAATGTGCCTGTGAACATGTCTCCTGTTCAATCCAGTGTGTCTGTTTACCTGGCCCCTGTGCAATCTAATGTGCCTGTGAACATGTCTCCTTTTCAATCCAGTGTGTCTGTTTACCTGGCCTCCTGTGCAATCGAATGTGCCTGTGAACATGTCTCCTGTTCAATCCAGTGTGTCTGTTTACCTGGCCCCCTGTGCAATCTAATGTGCCTGTGAACATGTCTCCTGTTCAATCCAGTGTGTCTGTTTACCTGGCCCCCTGTGCAATCTAATGTGCCTGTGAACTTGTTTCCTGTTCATCCCAGTGTGTCTGTTCACCTGGCCTCCTGTGCAATCTAATGTGCCCGTGGAAAGTGTTTCCTGTGCAATCTAATGTGTCTGTTTACCTGGCCTCCTGTGCAATCTAATGTGCCTGTGAACATGTCTCCTGTTCAATCAAGTGTGTCTGTTTACCTGGCCTCCTGTGCAATCTAATGTGCCTGTGAACATGTCTTCTGTTCAATCCAGTGTGTCTGTTTACCTGGCCTCCTGTGCAATCTAATGTGCCTGTGAACATGTCTCCTGTTCAATCCAGTGTGTCTGTTTACCTGGCCTCCTGTGCAATCTAATGTGCCTGTGAACATGTCTCCTGTTCAATCCAGTGTGTCTGTTTACCTGGCCCCTGTGCAATCTAATGTGCCTGTGAACATGTCTCCTTTTCAATCCAGTGTGTCTGTTTACCTGGCCTCCTGTGCAATCGAATGTGCCTGTGAACATGTCTCCTGTTCAATCCAGTGTGTCTGTTTACCTGGCCCCCTGTGCAATCTAATGTGCCTGTGAACTTGTTTCCTGTTCAACCCAGTGTGTCTGTTCACCTGGCCTCCTGTGCAATCTAATGTGCCCGTGGAAAGTGTTTCCTGTGCAATCTAATGTGTCTGTTTACCTGGCCTCCTGTGCAATCTAATGTGCCTGTGAACATGTCTCCTGTTCAATCAAGTGTGTCTGTTTACCTGGCCTCCTGTGCAATCTAATGTGCCTGTGAACATGTCTCCTGTTCAATCCAGTGTGTCTGTTTACCTGGCCTCCTGTGCAATCTAATGTGCCTGTGAACGTGTCTTCTGTTCAATCCAGTGTGTCTGTTTACCTGGCCTCCTGTGCAATCTAATGTGTCTGTGAACATGTCTCCTGTTCAATCCAGTGTGTCTGATTACCTGGCCTCCTGTGCAATCTAATGTGCCTGTGAACATGTCTCCTGTTCAATCCAGTGTGTCTGTTTACCTGGCCTCCTGTGCAATCTAATGTGCCTGTGAACGTGTCTTCTGTTCAATCCATTGTGTCTGTTTACCTGGCCTCCTGTGCAATCTAATGTGCCTGTGAACATGTCTCCTGTTCAATCCAGTGTGTCTGTTTACCTGGCCTCCTGTGCAATCTAATGTGCCTGTGAACGTGTCTTCTGTTCAATCCAGTGTGTCTGTTTACCTGGCCTCCTGTGCAATCTAATGTGCCTGTGAACATGTCTCCTGTTCAATCCAGTGTGTCTATTTACCTGGCCTCCTGTGCAATCTAATGTGTCTGTGAACATGTTTCCTGTGCAATCTAATGTGTCTGTTTACCTGGCCTCCTGTGCAATCTAATGTGTCTGTGAATATGTCTCCTGTTCAATCCAGTGTGTCTGTTTACCTGGCCTCCTGTGCAATCTAATGTGTCTGTGAACATGTCTCCTGTTCAATCCAGTGTGTCTGTTTACCTGGCCTCCTGTGCAATCTAATGTGCCTGTGAACATGTCTCCTGTTCAATCCAGTGTGTCTGTTTACCTGGCCTCCTGTGCAATCTAATGTGTCAAACAAACAAACAAAACACAGGAAACGGACGCATGGCATATTGAAATACATCTCTGGCCACGGGAACGCTGACAGGCAAACTCCAGACGCTGTTGTCCCTGTTTTTAATTCATAACGCTGTCACGCTCAACATGCATCATATACCGCACACTGGTGTCTTGTTTCCCTTTCCTAACGCTATCACTCTCAACATGCACATTATACACCGTAATACACCGTTAACAAAGAAATACATAAACCAACTTTCACTGTATCATATCAATGGATGTACATTATGCACAGCGTGTTATCACATTCAAAACAGCAGGCAATGCGCACCTACCAGTGAGTGAGTGAGTGAGTTGGGTTTAGCGCCGCTTTTAACAGTATTCCAGTTATATCGCGGCGTGTCAGCTTAATGTGGGAGGAAAGCCCGAAGTGATGCAGGTCTTGGACGTTTACCACATCGGTGAAACCCACGAGCACAGGTATGGTGCTGACAAACCTAGAAACATAATCGGGGCGAACCGGGATTCGAACCCACAATCATAGGTTTCTGGCGTGCCCAAGGGACGCAACTCTGCATAGCGAATCGCGGCGCCTTGGACGACTGGGCCACCCGTGCCCCCGCGCACCTACCAAACTACAGGGATGGGTATGCCCAGTTACAACCGACTCTGTCGGGAAGGGTTTTGTCGCTTTCATGTTTTTTACGAGATAGCCTGTGAATACAGGATGCACAAACATGTACGCTACTAACAGTCTTGACTGTGAGGGACAGCTCATTTGATATTCTAGGTTGGCCTGGGAATTGAAAAAAACACAAAAACAAATAAAAAATAGTAAAAAAGAATTTGGTCTAGGAATTGAAAAAACAACAAAGTCAAATAAAAAATAGTAAAAAAGAATTTGGTCTTAGGGTTGGTCAAAATATAATTGTTCGTTGGATATGCTGGATGTTGGGAAGAAGCATTAAGTTGTTCGGATCCTGTCACAGAAATACGTTGCGTGTTTTGAAGGGGTGACCGAAAACATACCCTGTCCGATACAATTCCCGAATTTGACTTACACAATAGGGCGGTCGGGTAGCCTAGTGGTTAAAGCGTTCGCTCGTCACGCCGAACACCCGGGTTCGATTCCCGACATGGGTACAATGTGTGAAGCCCATTTCTTGTGTCCCCCGCCGTGATATTGCTGGAATATTGCTAGAAGCGGCGTAAAACCATACTCACTCACTCACTCACTTACACAATATGTTCCCGTGTTTGTTCAGGTCAACAATTGACTTGCCTTTGCATGTATTCATGACGGGTGCCATCGGAGGGACATGATGCTCTCACCTTTTCGCGAACACCTAGCATCATCACTATTTAATTGTAATTTGTAGACGCTTCCTAATGACATAGTCTGAAACGTGTAATGGTATCTGCTTTTCGGAGAGATTTCTTATGATCATGGAAATCATTTTTGTCTTCTTTTGTTTGTATTCTACAAAATGTGACAAATAGTGATTCATTGATTCAGTTCCAATGATTAAAATCTCATTTACAATGTAAGGGAGTGATGCCTAAACAAATAAATGTTGTTGAATAAAATAATAATGATTTAACGAGCCCGAAGTGATGCAGGTTTAAGAACCTTATCACTTTCGTGAAATCCACGAGCACGATATGGTGCATCTCATTTATTAACATGACGGATTGTAGACATTTTGATGTTTATCTCCAAAGTTGCCCAAACTGATTTTCAGTATATTACACTTTTCTTTTTATTATGATTGCAATTATCCCTTTAGTTTATCCAGATTCCCGATGGTTAATTCTGACTCGATCGCCGAATGACAAGGGCGACGCCATGTTTGTTTATAAACACTGAAAGTAGTCCCTACTTGACCTTTCATATTTGCATCTCTATCCGCATATGACCCCATCGGATATCGTTTTTACCCGTTGACTTTGTAACGGCCATAAAATTTCCGAGTCCCTTGATGGGATTCGAACCACGGACCTTCTGATCAGGGGTCGGACGCCTAGTCCACATGACCAAAGAGGTTAACCCCGTCAGCAAGCTGACAAGGTAAGGATGTCATCT